GTATAAACTAACATTTCCTGTTCTATGGGCTGCAATTTAGGCTGGCTTAAGAGAAGCAAAGTTGTATTAGGAGCTTTGACTTAGCAGACTTTTCGGAAATAGCTATTAAGAAAAAAATATGCGTAGCATATTTAATCTATAAATGGCTTAGAGGAAATAGAGCTATAAAACTATTTTTTAATGAAAATCGTAAAAAAATAAACCTAATATTATTTTATTTATATATTGAAAGCTAGAGATTTTAGATGTACTGGATTCATATTCACTGTACTCTTATTAGCTTCTCTCCCATTCTCTTCTCTCCTAAATTAGAAAGGATTCTTATACAGAAATCATCGTATCAGGCTCCACTTTCATACCCTATTTATTAGATTTTTTCTCTTATACAATATATATGTACATATACAAGCAAAATATCAACCTCTAATGTGGTCTGATAATTAATTATTAATTTATTACCAATTAAACTTGCTTTAGTTCAATTGGCAATTCATAATACACAAGGAAAATGTGAGCTCCCCTTCAATCTCATTCAGCTTTCAGTCTAAAAAAACTTGAATATAATAATCAAAATTCTCTATGCTATGAATAATAGCATCAACTCTTGCGAAACAATAACTGTAAACTGTGAATGAAACATCATGAAATGCCCTAAAGATATGAATTTTGATGGCTCATTACATATTGAATTGATATTATGAATACCATTTGATTAATGGGTCTTACTCTGGCCAATTCGTGGCGCTGTTGCAACTTTCGTTATGGCTGATCTTTGATATTTGTGTCTTTTTGGCTACACTTTCATCACCCACATCTGATAGGTTATTCCTATGAATATATTCATTTATCATTATGCAACAGGGGCCCGCATTCGAATGCTTGCCAAACGCTATGCAGTGCAAATTCGAACAATAAATATGTATATCAATAATTAAACTGCAATTTCAGCTCACCCGCATGACACGAGTTTCAAAATTTGAAGAAACAGCAGCAGCCGCCGCAGCCGTAGCAGTAGAAGGCCATGCCCTCATGATATATATAAATGATTTCAATTAGGGCGTTTTCAAAATGATTATGGCTAGTTTTTGATCCGTTTAACAATTTTTATTTTTATATTCTGCTAATAATGTTGCTGTTGCATTAGTTGTTATTACTGTGGTTGTTGTTGTTGTGCAATAAAAGACAATGCGCTTAACGGACTTTGGTGTTGCACTCGATGGCAGATAAAAGATTGCCCCGACCGCTGGACCACTCTGCTGGACAGCTGGCGCCCCCGCCTAGCACACTTTTCTGTGGCTCTAGCCACATTAAATTAAATCTAAGCTTGACCCAAAAAAAAAACTACGAAACTAACTAAAAACTACTTAAACGTTTCGCAAAAATATTTGCAGTTTCTTTAAGCACTTAATTTGCAGCTGAGCCAAGCTGCAAGCGGAATGCCGAGCAAATCGTTTTGAGATAATAAATGATTATTTTCCCGCTAAACTGCGTTAATCAAAGGCCTAATGATAATGGACTCTGGCTATGGACGTGTTCACCTCTGTTTATTGATTGTTTTTAATTAGTCGATTAGTGTTGCTCTTGTGGTTAGAACAACGTCCGCCCGCCCTAATCGCTCGATCACGCCGCATTCCTGCTCATTACGCCGCGGCACACGGAGAGAGTGGGAGGAGTCGCAAAAGGTGATATCCATGTTGGGTGTGCCGACCAATTAATGCGATCCCAGGCGATGCTGTTACGCCTTTTTGTACACAAAAATCATGTGCACGATTTTGGAGTTCATTCAACTGGCTGGCACTTAAAAATATCCCAATTGCGCAGTGTAATTCTCAAGAAAAAAAAACTTTTTATTGGCCCGCCAAGCCACAGCACACGCACAGCAACCCGATTTTAATCTAACAATCCCGACCCAAGTCTCGCACTTTAATTAACATGATAAAAAAAAAAGAAAAAAGCTGTATGAGTTGCGAATGAAAACTATGCGAATACCTAGGGCGCAAATGGCGGTACACTTGGAGAAAATATAGAGTAAATTGAGGTCTAAGAATGGTTTCTGCTTCCCATATCATAATATTTAATATAAAAACTTTAACCTTGGGTACAAAGCTTCCCAGTGCGTATACGTAATTTATACACTTAAAGAAGATTTTAGGAAAATTAAAAATTAATTTCAGATTTTTCTACATAATTTGTACACTCAGAGAAAATGTGTCAAGCTCCAGGTGGCGCATAATAATATATAATAATCAAATATAATATTCAAGAAAACATCTCAATTTTTTTCAAATCTACTGTTCCGTCATATCCCTAATTGATATGTACAATCCCAATCTCTGATACGTATTTGTGTTTCTTCTTATCTCATTCGCATGCATTATAAATAATCCGACCAAACATAACAATTAATTTTATTCACTCAAATAAGCTGTCTGAGTTTTTCGCCAAGTGTAATTATCTGTGAAGCTAAGTGAATTTCAAGTTCAAGGCCGTCGCAATTATGTCTCGGAAGTGACAAAGAGCGATAAGTAGACAAGCCAAAGCCCCTGATCGCAATTGAGTGGCTATTGTTGCATAACACAATTTCTGATGCTGTCATGGTGCTTAACAACGGACACTTGGCCAAGTGGAGCTGCCCAACTGCGCCATTAAATTATCTCATTGGCGTCTTTGACTAATGTGTTGATCTCTTTTTGTACTTTTTTATTTATTGAATTATCGGATTGAATTTGATATGCAGTCGAAATTAAAGTGCCTAGTTGATATGATCTGTTGTTTAAATTTAGCCGGCATTACAACATCTCGAAAGCAGCTCCAAATAAAACCTAATTTAATCACAGGTTTCCCAACCTAATGGACCTAGTCGTTGATCATTAAATCGCCAGGTAATGAACCGAGCCATAAAAAGTGAGACTTCGAAGCAGACATTACTTGCATATCTTGTGCTGCGAATTTGGCTAATCGATCACAGTAGTTAAATACACAAATTCCTATTTGCTATGCACTCGGCGCATTGTCAACATCGCTGGCAATTGGCAATTGGCAATTGTTATTGTTATTATTGAAATTCAAAATCATATCTGCGTGGATATCGAATATAACCTATATACTGCTGATTTATAGCCGTTATTCAGCTGCCAGTTTGATTTGAATCGATGTTTATGGCGACTTTCAGGAATCATTGTCGAAAACATGATATTCATTGTGCCTTGCGATAAGAATAAACATCGATCGAGCCAACTAATTGGTGGAGAATAAGAATCGATGCTGGCCTTATTGAAAGCAACTTCAAACAGTAATAATAAACATCGATGTATGCACAAGCAATTATTTCTAATTAACCAAAAGCAAAGAATCGATATAAGGCTTATAACACGCCTGACAACTTTATTCATTTGTGAGTTACACAAATATTATGCACTCCAGCCAATTATTCCTCATGCACTGATTTATAGGTTACGTAAGTGGCCGTTCGTTAGTCTTGGCTAGTTGGAAAAGAATGAATTTGCTGAATTAGAATGCAATGGTCACACTCTTAATTCACCGGGCATGTCAGTTTTATGTATTGCGATTTGCAAGTATAAATAAAATATACGATCACTTCATATTGGTTAACATATGCCTGGCAATCGTTCAAGTAAACACACATTCAATTCACAAAACGACAACAACAAATTCTCATCTTTTAGCAAAGGAGAATAGCGCAACAAAAGAGGAGCAAAGAGTTACAGACAGCTATTCACCCACACTCGCAGATGCAGACACACGCATATGCAGACAAACGATACTGCAGTGCATTGCCATGCTGCAGGTGGCATCGATAAATCACGAGTATCGATATCTTTTTTTGTGTGCGCATTGTCAAAAGCGCCGCCGATTGACAAATTGGCAACGAACAAATTTGGCCAAGGAGAGCATCGTGTTTTGGTTGTGAAAATTGTATTGTAAAATCGATTAAGCCCCTCCGCCCCTCGCCCAGCTAGTCACACCTTCGCCAGAAGCACAAGCATTTAGCACCTTTCAACTGTTCAACAGTTGTTGTTCAGCTTTTTATATTCCTGCAACTCATGTTTAATGGCGCGTAATTGATCATTAGCTGCAAAAACACTTGAGAACCTGCGACAATGTTCGCAATGCATATATAAATAATAAACGGCCATCCACCGAGCAAAAGCTTAAGCTTTCATGCATTTATTTATTTAATATATATAGCAATAAATGTTATAAAAAATGTTAGATTATAAAAAAGCCATGAATGCAGCCTAATTAATCAACATAAATCAATTATTTAACAAACCAATTCAATTAACAAAACAAACGCTGACTGAATATAAATATAAATAAAAATATAAATATATGTATGTGAGTAAATAAATATTTATCAAATCGCTATAAATCATGCTCCAAATAAGGGGGGACACAATGACTTTGAGCTTTTGAACAGTATCTGCATTAGGCCTAATAGTGTTAACAACTTGAGAAATTTTCACACAACAACAACAACTACAGCAACAGCAACAAACAATGGCATTAAGCTTACAACAATTTGTGTCGCTTATTATTATTAATTTTTTATTTTTTTACACTTGACATTGTTGCAAGACGCGTAATTATAAAAGTTTTTTCTTTATTTATGAACGAGTTCAAGAGCGAAAATTTGATTTTGTTGAGTTTTGGTTGCATCTAATCGCTATATAAAGCGCATTTAATTGGCTGAGCTGAGCTGTTGCTAATGCGGCAATTGCATCATAAGCTTTAAGGCAAAGTGAGTTGGCAAGCAAATAAATGTTTTACATTCTGCAAATTTGTACAACTTGTTCTACATACAGATATACAGATATACACGTTGCAATTGGGGGCGAATGTTCTCAAGGCAATTGCCTAATCGAAGCGATCGAAGCAATCGACACAATCGACACAATCGCTGCCAATCGCTTTGCCATCGATTAATTTTGACAAATTATTGCCACATGCATTCACCTTATAAGTTTCCTCTGTTGCAGCCTTCCATTTGCCTGCTGCTAGTCATCTGCCTCGTCGCGTGCAGCGAAGCGATACGCGTGGATTGGGGCACCAATACGGGTCCCATAGTGCCGCCGCCCCCGCGCACTACACCCGCGCCGCCCAGCCGGCCATACCGTGAGCCGGCGCCTGTCTGGGAGGACCAGAGTGACGACATTCCCAACCCACGACCCTACGTGTAAGCAGGAATCTGATTGGCTTCACTCTCCGCTCGCTCACTTCTCAATGAGCTGTCTCTCTTTACAGCTATGTGCTGCCGCCTCCATCCCGGCCCCGAACCTGGGTCATACCCGCCGGCCCCTATGCACCGCCCAACTACAACAACCAGCCGCCCAAGTACAATAACTATGGCCAGCTAGTTGATCCCTATAGCAGTGCCAATGCAGGAGCGAGACCAGCCACTGGCACCGTCGCTGTGCCAGCACTGGCGGCTCAGTATGTGCCCGGAGTGGGCATCAAATAYACTGCGATTGCGCCCAACAACAACAAGCTGCAGGGCAAATACAATGCGAAGACCAAGAAGTACAAGGCCTACGAGAAGGCGAAATATGCTCCATGGAACTATGTAAGACAATACGATAATCGTAAGCGCTATCTGCGCTACTGATATGTATATATGTATATATTTAAGGAGTCCGTGTTCATTTTATCAAATTGCGTGTACAACAACAAATTAAAGCCAAAAACGAAAAAGAAAAAACAACATAAACAGCAAAAACAACATGTAAATGCTTTTGACACTTTTGTAAATGCTTTTTGCACAATCGCTGTACAAAGTACGAGTACACCCACCACACACCTATACACAGTCACAGCCACAGCTACATCTAGAGCCACAATCACCCACCCACCAGTCGCCACCACTCGCCAACAGTTGCGAATCGCAATCGCAATCGCAATCGCATTTGCTTTCATGCCCATGTACCACGTCCCCACGTTCATGTCCATGTCCATGTCATAATCACATGCATCATCTCTTTGCAGTTGCAGCTGCTGCCCGTGGAGGAGAAGGCGCTGGACTGGCAGGAGGCGGAGGAGGCGCCAGTGAAGGAGCCGCACTCTGAAATGCCGCTAGACACACTCAGCTCCTCCACGACTGCAGCGCCCAACAGCAGCAGCAGCAGCCCAGCAACAGTAACAACAACAACAACAACAGCAACACCAACAACTGCTGCAACGCAAACTTCAGCAACGCAACAAACGACAACAACAACAACAACGACGACGGCCGCTATGTTTGCCAATTACAAGCTGGCACATGAGAAGAGCGCCTACCTGAAGAAGCACAACAAGTTGAAGAAGCTGCTCGAAAAGCTGCAGGCACCCAGCAGCCCGACGCAAGCGAACGCGACCTCAAGTTGAGCGCTACATAAAAAAAAATTAAAAAGAAAAAAAAAACGAAAAATAATAAAAAACGATATATGCGAATTATACGTTAAGACTTGCCCCAAAATTTGTAAATACTTAATAAATCGAATACAAAAAGAAAAATGAAAAAAAAAAACACGTCTCATGCGAATCAATTCACTTACATAGAAACAAAAGACTCAGGCAACAAACTTGAAACTTGCGTACACTACAACGGGGCGTCAAATCGAGCCTTAATAGCGCACCGCTTAGCAAAAGGGTAAATACTTAGTAAGACACACACATACACACACACACACACACTACACACTAATGTACACACACAAAGTAGACACACTCTAGGCTGTCAGCGGCTGGCTGTCAAAGTTATAACGGGGCCAGGTTATGCTAACTTGAAACGATGATTGGTACTTTCTTGAACGGCTTTTCATAGCTGGCGGCAGCTGGCGCAATTAGCCCGATCGTTTAGTAATATGTATGAACAGCTTCTGGTGGTCCATCATTTAAATGCCGTTGATCACAGAGCGGCAGCCAGACCCTGACCACGGCGGCTGCTGTCAACATGTGCCACACGTCAGCAGCAGCAGCTGGAGTAGGCAATGRGCAACAACATCATTAGCTGCCTCAAGCAAGAACAACAACAATGCACAGTGCTAACTACCGTTTAAGACTGTTTACTGATTTTTTCCCAGTGTACTTTTGGCCGCTGGAGTCATTAACCAGCGCTAATTTTCGTCGCATTGTCAACGGGTTTCGTTTTCGTTTTCGGTATCGTCTTTTCCTTTTCCCTTTCCTTCGCTTTTGTTTTTCGGGTGCTTTATTTTGTCGTTTGTGGTTTGTTTTGTTTAGGTTTTTAATTGCGTGCGCTTCACGATCTGAGCGCATAGTCTGCATCCATTTATAATGATTAAGGGTACAAAATTTCGTGACAGCATTACACAAAACTCTTTAATTAAATACAATTTGTTAAAATTGACAACAATTTAACGGGCTACAGATAATTGCTGGCGCTGCTTTACATTGTATAGCAAGTGGATTTGTAGCGATATATTGATATGTGTATGCATATATATATGTATGTATGTGTACACATATGTATATTTTGTATAATAAGCACTTGGGCTGGTCTTGCTAAGTGCACTACGTTAGCCAAAGCTTTGTGCTTAATAACTGTTATTTACTTGTTCTTTATGCCTCTTGTTCTCTAATCATTTTTTATGGCTTTTCTAAGTATATTAATTAAATAGTTCTTTTTGCTTATTCATTTCTTTTTATATGGGTTTTTAATGTGCTTTTTTAAGTGTCTGTACTCGAAGGTGATGTTATATATTCTTCTTATAGCTCTAAGAGCAGAAAGAAATAAACTCAGTAAAGTAAGAGACATCATTCGATTTATCCGACTGCTAATTTACTTATCTAAATACACAAATTAAATCCATAAACAAACATTTCGAAAAGCAATTGAGATTAGCATTTCTCGCTAACGGAGTTTATTCACATTAAATATAATAATGAAAAAAATAAAATAAAATAAAATGGATTAACGATTAAAAAATGCAATGCAAATTTATAACTGCACTCGAAAATATTCTTAATTCCAAATGGGCGTATAAAAATGTCTGTGGCATTTATCAATTTTATTCGGCGACAGCAAACAACAATCTTTCACATCAATAAAATTATGCTAATTTCATTATTTTTTCTTTATAAATAATGTCGCTTGTTGTCCAGCTTGGGACAATTAACAACTGTTTATTAAGAGCGGGATGATAAATATACGTTCATTGATTGGAAGTGTGAGAAGTAAGTGAGAAAAAGCGAAACTCTGGCCCAGCCGAGGCCACGCGACAAATTACAACAGCAAATTCGCTTCCGTTTGGCTGAGGTAACCAATTGTTGAATTTATGAGTATGAATATGAGTGTGTGTGCGTGAAGATATTTATATATGTATATGCTGCGTGAGATTCAAGCATACTCAAGCTCAAATTGGAAGCTGAGCATGCTATGGAGCGACTGCCTGCTTCGTCAATTCTCGCCTCTACTCGAAGGCATCCTCTACTAGTCCTCTACCAGTCCGCTTCTGCACGTGTGTGTGTGAGTGTGTGGAGTGCGTTAAGCAATGACAGTTGGTTAGCCTTGCGCAGCATCTCTTACCTCTCACAGTTCCAGGTGATTGTTTACCCCAGACTTTATGCACAATGTGCAAGCAGCTGGGAGACAAAAACCCGTATTTTTGAAATAGTGGGCGTAGCTAATACGATGAGATTCGGCGGCAGACAGTAGATTGTGCATGGATGCAAGTTTATATGCATTCAAAAATTGCTTTAATGATGAAGAAGAAGTTGAGATAAAAGATAGAAAAATATATATGTGTATGTCAGAAAATGTATATGAAAAGTACTTGTAAATAAAATAAAAATGATAAAAATAATAGAAATTAATTGAGATTTAAGCCAAACATAAAAATATGAGAAACAAAATATAAAAAAAGTGGAGAATAATTTTCTTAAATATATAAAATAAATAAATTTGTAACACTATA